GCCCCGACCGGGACTAGAACCCGGTGTGCCGGCGCCGCAAGGTGGAGGATTAGCCTATTGAGCCACGGCGCCGGCCTGGCTGCTCCACTTCTGATCCAGCTCTCTGCTATGGCCTGGGAAAGCAGTGGAAGATGGCCCAAGTCCTTGGGCTCCTGCACCCACATGGGAAACCCAGAAGAAGCTCCTGGCTCCTGGCTTCAGATCGGCGCAGCTCCAGCCATTGAGGCCAACTGGGAAGTGAACCAGCAGATGGAAGACCTCTCTCTCTCTCTCTCTCTCTCTGCTTCTCCTCTATGTAACTCTGACTTTCAAATAAATAAATAAAATCTTTGAAAGAAAATATACACACTAGTGGTGCAGAGCTCCACTGGTAGACTTACTAGATGTACAACTATTGATTTCAATAAGGTGACTTTAAAATGGAACAGAAGTCATTGAACATCTTTCGTTTTATCCTATTATTATTATATCAAGTATGTTTATTAAAATGGAATTAGTTATTTTGCATTTTTGTATACATTTTAAAGTATTTTAGTTTAACTTTGATAAAGCAGAAAGGTAAAAGTAGGCTTCTCAGATGCTTTAGGAGGGTAAGCAATAGTGATAGTGGAATAAAGTAGGTGCAAGAGTAGGGGAGGGTGCAGACTTTGTAGCTCATTGGGTTAAGCCATCACTTGGGGTGCCTGCATCCCGTTATCAGTGCCTGTTTCAAGTCTCAGCTTCTTTACTTCCAACACAGCTTTCTGCTAATGCACCTGGGAGAGCAGAAGATGAAGGGCCAGATGGAGTTCTGGGTTCCTGGCTTTGGCCTGGCCCAACCCCAGCTGTTCCAGGCATTTGGGGAATAAGCCAGTGGATGGAAGTGTGCTATCTCCTTCTATCTCTGTCATCCTGCCTTTCAAATAAACAAACAATCTTTTAAAAAAAGAAAACTATTTTGGGGCTGGCACTGTGGTATAGTAGACTAAGTCTCTGCCTGTGGTTCCGGCATCCCATCTAAGAGCTGGTTTGTGTCCTGGCTGCTCCTCTTCCAATTCAGCTCTCTGCTATGGTCTGGAAAGCAGTAAAAAATGGCCCAAGGGCTTGCGGCCCTGCACCCACATTGGAGACCCAGATAAGCTCCTGGCTCCTGTCTTTGGATCAGGTCGGCCCAGCTCCAGCAGTTGTAGCCATTTGGGCAGTGAACCAACGGATGCAAGACCTTTCTCTCTTTCTCTCCCTCTGTCTGTAACTCTACTTCTCAAATAAATAAATAAAATCTTTTTAAAAAAACTTATTTTATGTTTACCCTAAGAATAACATACATCTTGGGGCCCATTTTAAAAGATTTTCTAAGAAACATTTTTGATTATACTTATCTTCCTCATACTTGATAATATGAATAGTATCTGAATCAACTAGAGTTAGTTCTTTCTAGGCTGACCTAGCTACTCACCTGTCAATTTTCTTAAGATAAAGTAAAAACAAGAAAGAATTTCTCACCTGAAGTAACTGGCCAGGATGGAGAGAGCCCAGGAAAGGAGATGTATGGCAATAAACGGTTTCCCCATATTTACAATCTGGGGCTCCAGGATCTTTTCCAGGTTTCTATGAGAAACACAGCAGACCCAGTTATTACCACAGAATACCATCAATAAGCCTACACAAAATATTCCATAAGCATAGCACCTACTAATATTATTAACTGCAAAAAGAAAAAAGTGCCACTCTTTTCTTCCAAGAAATTTATAGTTGGGGCCGGCGCTGTGGCATAGTGGGTAAAGCTGCCAGCTGCAGTGCTGGCATCCCATGTGGGCACTGGTTCAAGTCCCGGCTGTTCCTCTTCCAATCCAGCTCTCTGCTTTGGCCTGGGAAAGCAGTAGAAGATGGCCCAAGTCCTTGGGCCCCTGCACCCCCTTGGGAGACCTGGAAGAAGCTCTTGGCTCCTGACTTCAGATTGGGGCAGCTCCAGCCATTGCAGCCAAATGGGGAGTGAACCAGCAGATAGAAGAGATCTCTCTCTCTCTCTCTCTCTCTGACTCTCCTTCTCTCTCTGTATAAGTCTTTCAAATAAATAAATAAATAAATCTTAAAAAAAGAAATTTATAGTATAAAAAGAAACAAAATAGGGATTGGCATTTGATTTGGTCCAGTGGTTAATACATCCGTGTCCCGTGTAGGAGTGCCAGGGTTCAATCCCTGGGTCCAGCTCCTGATTCCATCTTCCTATTCTGGGAAGCAGCAGGTAATGGTTCAAGTACTTAGGTCCCTGCCACCCACTTGGAGATAAGGACTGAGTTCTAGGCTCCTAGCTTCAGCCTGTCTTAGTCTTGATCATGGTGGGTGTTTAAGGAGTGAACCAGAGGAGGGGAGCTTTGTGTCTGTCTCTTCCCCTCTACCTTTTAATAAAAATATAACAAAGAAAAAACACATACTCATAGATTGTTGCTAGCTGTCTAACTACAGCTATATTAATAACACTTTTTTTTTTTTAGCAGAGACTCACCCGTTTATAGTAGTTTTTTATCTTGGTTGCCATACCAACTTGCATCATTAAGGGTCCATTTTCCTCACTGTATTCTGCAAGAATGAGATCTCCATCTTTGCCTGTGAGGTCCTGAGGTGTGCGCATAAAAAACATCTCTCCACCACCTGATGCTTGCCTCTCTTGTTCTCTCATCTGTTCAGAACAACAACAAAAAAAATACAGTCCAGCTCCTGGCAGTACAATAAACAAATATACATGTCCTTCAACCAGGGTTAAATTAAACACACCAACGAAGATCTTACCTTGTTATTTTTCAATTTCATTATGAAAAATGTCATAAAGTTGAAAGAAAAGTACTATCGACATCTATTAACTCATCCTCAGATCTAACAGATTATATTTTGCCACATGCTTTATTTGTAACTACATTTCTATAGATTTTGCTGAACCATATTTGAAAGCTGCATTCACTGTTAACACTTCACCTTTAAGTATTTTCATATATATCTCCTAATAAGGATATTCTCCTAAATAACCAAAATAACATTCTATCACATCTAAGAAAACAAATCATTTGAAATCTAATACATTGCTCAAATTTGTAACCAAGTATCCTCTATAACTTTTTTTTTCTAACCAGGATTCAATTATACCTTGGCCTTCTTTTTGATGTGCTTCAGCAAAGGCTGGACTGAATGGGGACCTGGCTGAGACAGTGCCCCAAAGGAGTACTTTTTCAGAGGTGGGCGATGGAACTGCCGTAGTTTGATGGGCCCCATATGGGTGGGAAAGAATGGCTGCCGTAATTCCACAGCGGGAATTGAGTGCTAAAACAGAAAATAGAAAGGCTACAATTAAACACTAACTCCAGCCTAAGCAAAATTCACCCATATCCTCCATCAGAACAATGCTGTGTGTTCCCCTCCACCAAAGAAAAGACGCTTTCTATACCTGGATAATATTCCCTCCAAAGGTGCCTCGAAGACCCTGTTGTTTGGGATAGTAATACTCATCATTGGAGAGATTCCATGGATCTTTCACTTCTGGCTGAGACATGTTCTAATGATAGATCATCAAATAAACCTAAGTTAGACTACACTTCTTATCTTTCTTTGCTCTAAACACCAAGCCCTACCTCCCTTCACAGACCTGCTGTGGTTCCTCCTTGATGACTCCAGTCTTTCCTAGGAGAATCCGGCTCTTCTTCAGAGATGATTCTTTCTTACTCTCCTTGGAGGGGGAATTAGAGGTAGCCTCTTCCTTCTCATCAGGAATCTCTGATGAAACAAAATCACTCTGGAATTACTGTCCCTGAGATTCACATTCCTTAATGATGTACCTGCAGCTGCTTTTCAGAGATCTTTTATCCCACCCCAGACCTTGATTCACTCCAGCTGAACGAACTACATTCTTGATATCACAAAAGTCAACTTTCTGGGGCCGGTGCTGTGGCATAGTGGGTAAAGTCACCGCCTGCAGTGCCAGCATCCCATATGGATGCCAGTTCGAGTCCTAGCTGCTCCGCTTCTGATCCAGCTCTCTGCTATGGCCTGGGAAAGCAGTAGAAGATGGCCCAAGTCCTTGGGCCCCTGCACGCACATGGGAGACCCGGAAGAAGCTCCTGGCTCCTGGCTTCGGATCGGCGCAGCTCCAGCCATTGAGGTCAATTGGGGAGTGAACCAGCAGATGGAAGACCTCTCTCTCTCTGCCTCTCCTTCTCTTTCTGTGTAACTCTTTCAAATAAATAAATAAATCTTAAAAAAGGTCAACTTTCCAACATTTTACATAAAATCTCCCTAAAAAATACACAAATACTAGAAGGCAACAGCCACAACTCCCTGTCAAATTGCTACCTAGAAGTTTCCAGTTTTGACCTCTAATCCTTTTGGTTCCTTTCTGCCCTTTAACATTAAAAGCAAGCTGTCAAAGGTGGAAAAGAATACTGGCTTCTGCAAATAACATACCCAAAATGAGGTTCTCATCATTGGGGTCAAGTGTCAAAACAGGAGGCTCTAACAGCCGGGGCATGGCCTGAGCATCCCAAATGATATTGTCCTCCCAGCGTCCATACACCAAATCCTCATTGTCAATGGGAAAAATGGAGTACCAAGGTTTGTCATCATCCAGAGTAGCTGCAAAACCTAGCAAAAACAGAAGACAGAAATAATGACAAAACATTTAAGTCCCTTTCAATCAAGAGTCTAGCAAAAAAAAAAAAAAAAAAAGACTAAATGCTACCACGTAGCCACTGAACAGGAACCTACGGGACATAGAGTAGCTTTCACTTTAAAAAGAAATGTTGCAGAGAAAACTAGGACACAATATTGTACACAGTAGTCAGACTTTAAACAGTCTAAATGTTTAACAAGGGACTGGTTAAATTATGGTAACAAATGATATGGAAAATAAGCTAACAATAAATAGTAGTATGACTTTCGGCATAAAAAATTATGAAATAGTCATATAATATACCATGTAACCAATAAAATATTTACATAGTAAAAAACTATTTATTTTTTACATTTATTTTTAACTGATGCATAAAAAAATTGTACTTTTTTATGTATTTCCATGAGATGTTTCTGGACTTGTACAAAATATGTAATGTCCAATTAAAATAAACATATCTCCTCATTTAACATTTCTTTATGATGAAAACATTCAAAATCTTTTCAGTCAGCTTTCTATGCTCATATAGTCCACTTCTTATTCTACTTTTACAAATGGTATATCAAATACACTCTTTCATATCTTATTGTTATCCAGTAAGTTTCCCATAACATTTTTATGAAGAACTTTGACAGAAAAATATTTTTAAAAGTACACAAAACTGTACATACAGAATGAGCTCAAGACCGGCGCCGCGGCTCACTAGGCTAATCCTCCGCCTTGCGGCACCAACACACCAGGTTCTAGTCCCGGTCGGGGCGCCGGATTCTTTCCCGGTTGCCCCTCTTCCAGGCCAGCTCTCTGCTGTGGCCCGGGAGTGCAGTGGAGGATGGCCCAAGTGCTTGGGCCCTGCACCCGCATGGGAGACCAGGAAGAAGCACCTGGCTCCTGCCTTCAGATCAGCGCGGTGCGCCAGCCGCAGTGCGCCAGCTGTGGCGGCCATGGGAGGGTGAACCAACGGCAAAGGAAGACCTTTCTCTCTGTCTCTCTCACTATCCACTCTGCCTGTCAAAAAAAAAAAAAAAAAAATGAGCTCAACTACAAACAGAAAAGACAGAAGACTGAAAAGAAAATATACCAAAAACGTTAACAGTTGACAATCTCTAGATAGATTATCAGTGATTTTCTTTAGGACATTGTACTATATTTTCAAAGTTTTCTACATTAAGAATGGCACTTTCTAACCTATTTAAGGAGGAATAAAACAAAATCTAAGAATTACAAAGTTTACAACGTTTTCAGGGGCCAGCATTGTGGTGTTAACAGATAAAGCCTCCACATGTGATGCCAGAATCCCATGTGGGTGCTGGTTTGTGTCCTGGCTGCTCCACTTTTGATCCAGCTCCCTGCTAATGGTCTGGGGAAACAGTAAAAGATGGCCCAAGCACTTGGGTCTCTGCCACCCACATGGGAGAACTGGATGAAGCTCCTGGATCCTGGCTTTGGCCTAGCTCAGCCCTAGTCATTGTGGCCATATGGAGAGTGAACCAGCCCTGAAAGATAAATAAATCTTTAAAAAAGTTAACTTCAAATTGGCTTTCACATTTTCTAATAAGAAACCAGACTCCATCCTAAATTATTAATGGGGTTAAAAAATTACTACGGACTGCAATCAGGGCTCAGATAAAAAACATTTCACTATCACTCAGCAGCCCAAAACCTCATAGCTAACCCTACTTAGGATAACTGAGATGAAGGGTAGTGTGCCAGACACACCAGACACAGAAACACACCTTGCTGAACATTGTAAGCCATGGCATTCCTAGTCATGCTGGAAGGAAGCCAGCCTGCCAAGCTTGCACGCTGAGGTTTTGTCCCTTTGTGTTTGACATCTTCCCCATCCCAGATGATATCATCCTCCCAATGCAGCTGTGTCACCATCAGGAAGTTTTCATCAGCCAGAAGATCAGTGCCATTGATTTCCTCAAGTTTTCTAAAGTCCTGTACAAGTAGGAAAGGAATAACAAACCCCTGATTGGTCATTGGTAAAAGTTCCCACTCCAAATTCCACATCAGAGACACAGCAGGCACTTCATAAGTGGTTCTATCTGCCTCTTCCCACTCCTACCTGGGCTAGAACAGAACTCACTACAAAATGCCTTGACTGGGTCCCACTTACCAGGATGATACACACCATACCACAGCACACAAAAGATTCAGGCACCTAAATCTCCTATCAAAGAAACCCTCTCCAGTATCTCCCCAGCTGAAAAGTTAGTAAAAGCAGTATATAGCCCTGGGTATACTTTCTTTGTTATGTATCAGTGTTCAGTGTTGCTCACCTCCATCACTCTACATTTGATTACAGGTTCATGTTCAGTCTTTCTCAATTTGAAGCCATAGTCAAATCCACTGCCATCTTCAGGGACACCCAGCATATCATACCACAGTCGAGCAGGTCCATAACGCCACTCAGCCACTCTTGGTTTGGTATCTGTCACTTTATCTATATCTCCAGTTGACTGGGAAAACTTGGACTCCACAGGAGCCATCATTGTGATCTGTAACAGAACAAAGTAGTAGAGGGGGGGAGACAGATTTCCCAATCCCAGATGTCCTAAGGCTACAGGGAACTAACAGTCAGGAAGGGGAACTTAGGAGAGGCACAAGAAAGATTCTTAAACAGGAATCTTTACCTGGCATCAGAATATAAGCATTCTGCCTGTCATTCAAACCTTCCTATTCAACAGTGCATTACCATCTGACCTCCTCCCTGCACCTCCCCCAACCCCCTGGCCACCTCCACCCTATACTTTCCTATTACAATAGGGAAAGGACAGTCACTGGGGTAAAATCGTTGATTACTCACTGATAATTAGCACAGACCTCTGCCTGCTAAGGTTACTTCCAATTTTGACATAAGCTAGGGAGAACTCATTTGTTTCCCTTGTTAAAGCCTTACTCCCAAGTCTCTATTTTGCCTACTTCATCATCAGAAAGACACTGCTCTGGAGGTGGTGGTGGAGCATAGTCATAGTCCCACAGACACTTCTGGTCAACTTCTGATTCTACTGAGCACTCCGTCTCCTGGTTCTGCTCTTCCTGTATCAGCTCCCGGTGCTTTTTTTTCCTTTTTCTCCGAGCACTCCGCCAAACAGATGGGACATTCTTCCCTGGTCCAAAAAGACGAAGGAAGCGTAACACCTGGAATACAGAACACATTACTGTGTGTCAAAGATTCAAATGTCAGATATGAAAGCAGCAGCATGTGGGCCTTAAAACTTTTTTTTTAATTGAACAGGCAGAGTTAGACAATGAGAGAAAGACACAGAATGGCTACTATGGCCGGCACGCTGCGCCGATCCGAAGCCAGGAGCCAGGTGCTTCTTCCTGGTCTCTCATGCAGGTGCGGGGCCCAAGCACCTGGGCCATCCTCCACTGCCTTCCCGGGCCACAGCAGAGAGCTGGACTGGAACAAGAGCAACCGGGACTAGAACCTGTTGCCCATATGGGATGCTGGTGCCGTAGGCGGAGGATTAACCAAGTGAGCCACAGTGCCAGCCCTGAAAACTCTTTTAAAGGATCTTTTGAACTGCTGGGGAGGTATCAAGGGGAGCTGCATTTGGATTTTTAACATCTACCCCAAAAGTAAAGGAAGCATCCCTTAAAATAGTTTGGACTAATTCAAACTAAGACCATAGGACAATTTCCAACAGGAACAGTATAAATCACATTTAATATCAATGTATATATTTTTTAAAAAGACACAGTTCTTAAGTAGCCAGTGACATCATTGAATAAGGAAACCCTTAGACATTTATCCATTCTATATTCAGCACCTTAACAATAGAACTCAGGATTTGGAAAAGGGTCAGTGGTTTGCATCATGGGCATTCTCCACACAAAGTACCTTTCCAGGCCGAAACTCTGGAAAAAGTTCTGTAACACTCGGCAACAGCTTGGTGGCATCATGCTGCATAATCCCGGCCAAAGGGAGGGTCAGCTTTCCATCATCGGATTCTGCCTGTGCTGCTTCCTGAGGTCCCATCTCAGATTCTGAGTCAGAGGAACTACTGAAGTCCACTTTCTCTGAGGCCAAAGAGGAAGGGGCAATGATGGAGGGCAAGATGATGCCTTCTCCATCTTCTGACACTGCAACAAGGAAGAGAAACCCCTTTGGCATGTAACTGTCAGCATATTCCTCAAATTCAGCCAATACCCACTCTAGGCTATGTGCACAGCTCAACGGCAGGGGATATAGTCCCAAGCACCCAGATTACTTGTATGCAACCCAGAAAACTCATTATCTCCCACCATCCCCAACTCACCTTGTACCTGGTACCCTAGGGTTGTGATGAGAGAAAACAAACACTATTACTACATTCACTACTTTCTCTAAGTGACTAACATTGTGGTCAATAGCAAAATTATATAATACTTTATACCAATCAGGCCCCATTATGTCCAGTTCAGGGAACCTGACACTTGGGCTCTTCTCTTAAGCACAAAGACTAACAGTAAGATTGTTTAGCATAAAATAAGGTCTAAGACACAATGTTAATAGTTCATATTTAGCCTGCAGACTAAAGTAGACTAAATGGCTTAAAACTCCTGAAGAAGAATTTAGGTTAACAGAAGCCTCAAACACAGGAAATCAAAGGTGCTGCTCCTTCCCTAATCTTCTAAGCCTAGGTAGAACAAGGTTATTACCATGAACAGGAAGAGGTAAGATGATCAGTGAAGACCTTACCAGCCTTTAAAATCTCTGAATCTGACAGCTGACACTATATGATTTGTGTACCTTCTAGGCTGCTTCTCCATTTAACCATTTCAAGAAAGTCATTTATACAGGTACTTTCTGCCAGTATGCAGATGAACTACATCAGAAATTACTTGGGAACACTTTAAAATTCCTGGGCTCTACCTTAGATCTTCTGAATCAGACTCCAGGAGAGTCAAGTATCTGTATTTCTTTAAGACTCAAAAGTGATGCTGCTGCACAGCCAGATTTTAGAACTGCTGATCTAAACTATTATTTCTTGAAAACATGTTAAAATACTGTTGTCAAATGTTTTGAAGGTAGAACTTTCCTTTAATAATAAAATCTGGGATTGTATGAATAATTTCTAGATGTTTTATTCTTTACTAGTAGCAAATTTAAAAAAAAAATAGTCCCTTATGTACATGCCAAAAAGCCTGACCTTATGAATGGAAACTTGCTCTTTAGACAAAAATAGACAGTCTCTACTTACCATTAGTAATAGCATCCTGATCCTTCTCCTTCTTCACTGGTCCTAGGGGTGGAGGTGGTGGAGGCATCAACTTGCAATCAATGTCTTCACAATCAGCATCATAGTCGTCTTCATCATAATCTAATAAAACCAAGAATGTGATCGCCTCAGTATCCAGATTATACAACAACCTTGAGCTCCCCTTGCCATGGCATGCATATCCTTTAAGAATACAACGGAGGGGGGCTGGCGCTGTGGCACAGTAGGTTAAACTTCCGCCTGCAGTGCCAGCATCCCATATGGGAGTCAGTTCTAGTCCTGGCTGCTCCTCTTCCAATCCAGCTCTTTGCTGGGCCTGGGAAACCAGTGGAGAATGGCCCAAGTCCTTGGGCCCTTGCACCTGCGTGGGAGACCAGGAGGAAGCACCTGGCTCCTAGGTTCGGATCGGCGCAGCTCCGGCCGTTGCGGCCATTTGGGGAGTGAACCAATGGAAGGAAGATCTTTCTCTATGTCTCTCCCTCTCACTGTCTATAACTCTACCTCTCAAATAAATAAAATCTTTGAAAAAAATACAAAGGAGGGGCCAGCATTGTGGCAGTCAGTTAAGCTGCCACCTGTGATGCCAGCATCCCACATGGGCACCAATTCATGTCCCAGCTGCTCCATTTCTGCTCCACTTCCAATCCAGCTCCCTGCTAATGGCCTGGCCTGGGAAAAGCAATGGAAGGTAGCCCATGTTTTGGGCTCCTGCCACCCACATGGGAGACCCAGATGAAGGTCCTGGATTAGGCCTGGCTCAGCCTTGGCAGTTGCAGCCATCTGGAGTGAAACAGCTGATGGAAGATCCCTGTCTCTCCTTCACTCCCTGTAACCCTATTTATCTTCCAAAAAAAAAAAAACACAAAGGAAATATCGCTTCTGTCCTTAAAAAGAGATGACATCACGGTGTATTGCCAAATGCCTTAACATGTATATCTCACACAGAATATAAGCATTTCCAAGAGCTGTTTGAAACCTTTTACTACTTTTCCTGGTCATACTTTTCTAAAGCATCACATAGGAAGGAAAACCAGGTTAACATTTATAGAGCATCTACCATGATACTGCACCTCATAGTTGCTTTCACATCATGTGATAATAAACTTAAATTCCTGGGGCCAGTGAGTAGCAGGTAAGGCCGCCGCCTGCAGTGCTGACATTCCATATGGGAGCCCATTCGAGTCCTGGCTGCTCCACTTCTGATCCAGCTCTCTGCTATAGCCTGGGAAAGCAGAAGATGCCCCAAGTCCTTGGACCCGCGTGGGAGACCCAGAAGAGATTCCTGGCTCCTGGCTTCAGATCACTGCAGCTCCAGCCGTTGCAGCCAATTGGGGAGCAAACCAGTGGACAAAAGACCTTTCTTTCTCTGCCTCTTCTCTGTGTATCTCTTTCAAATAAATAAATCTTTTTTAAAAAATTAAATTCCCATAAAAGCATGAAGTAACTATACTACCTTATGACAGACAAGAAAATTGGAAGGGAAGTGGAGCGGCCAGGACTTGAACCAACACCCATATGGGATGCTAGCATTGCAGGCAGCAGCGTAACTCACTGTGTCATAATGCCAACCTCAAGACTATACACTTAAATCTTTTAAAATTATCAATCCCTTCAGAGCAAAGACTGGCTTTGTATCATAGTGTCTAACTTTGAAGAGCATCTAAACAGTGTCATTCATGGGCCCTGTAGGTACTCAAATATCAGGTGACAAGGAGAAAAGTATTATCACCCTTACTTGTCATTAAACAGAAATTTGAGCAGTATGAGGAACAAAAGCCTGACCATGGTAAAACTTTCCCAGAACACAAGTAAGGACAGCAGCTCCTTGGACCTGAGCTGACAAAGGGAGAGAAGCAGAGCAAAGGCAGTGAACAGCAACAATGGCAGAAAGCAAGCAACCAGAGGCCAAACAGGGCTATAGCAGGAAAACGCACTGGAATGCTCTATGATACCAAGGACTCACCTGAGTGGCAAAGGGGCTGCAAGTTCCCCATTGTCTGCTGATGTCTTCGGCTTTCATCTTCTGCCACCTCAGTGATGTCAGAATAATCCACAGCATCTTCTGTACTCCTAATCCAACCTATAAATAAAAAAGAAGAGAGGCTATCTCAACAAAGAGCAAGTTAACTCACTCCCTCAGCTAACTCTCATTTAAAAGTACATGGACTGGGGGCAGGCGCTGCAGTACCATTTGGAATTCCCATTTCACATTCTGGAGTGTCTGGGGTCAAGTTCCATCTCCACTTCTGATCCAGCTTCTTACTAATGTGCACCCTGGGAGGCAGCAGAAGATGGCCCAGGTACTTAGGTTCCTGCCACCCATATGGGAAACCTGGATGGAGTTCCTCACTCCTAGCTTCAGCCTGGTTCACTCCAGCTGTCGTGGTCATCTGGGGAGTGAACCAGGAGATGGAAGATCTCTGTCTCTGTCACTCTGCTTTTCAAATCAAGTGATCAATGTTTTAAAAAAATAAAAAGGGGTTCCAGTGCTGTGATGCAGTGGGTTAATGCCCTGGCCTGAAGCGCCAGCATCCCATATGGGCGCCAGTTCAAGACCCGGCTGCTCCACTTCCAAACCAGCTCTCTGCTATGGCCTGGAAGGACAGTAGAAAATGGCCCAAGTCCTTGGGCTCCTGCACCCACAGAGGAGACCAGGAGGAAGATCCTGGCACCTGGCTTCAGATCAGTGCAGCTCCAGCCATTGTGGCCGGTTGGGGAGTGAGCCATCAGATGGAAGACCTCTCTTTCCCTCTCTCTCTTCTCCTATCTCTGTGTAACTCTTTCAAATAAATAAATAAATAAATCTTAAAAAAGAAAAGAAAAGAAAAGAAAAAATAAATAAATAAAAGGGGGCCAGGGTTGTGGTATAGCAGGTAAAGTACCAGCCTGAGACACTGGCAACCCATTTGGGGGCCAGTTCATGTCCTGACTGCTCCATTTCCTATCTACCTCCCTGCTAATGGCTTGCAAAAAAAGCAGCAGATGACCCAAGTGCATGGGTCCCTGCCACTGGTGTGGGAGGCCCAGATGAAGCTCCCTGACTCCTGCCTTCACCCTGGCTTAGCCCTGGCCATCTGGGAGTGAACCAGTGGATGGAAGATCTCCCTCTGCCTGTATCTCCCTAACTCTCTCTCTCAAAAAAAGTAAAAACTAAGAACACATGTACAGTAATGGCTAGCCTCCTCCCCACCTCATTCCCCATGACCCAGACTTCACCTTCATCATTTACCAAGGCACCATCAGCTCCAGTCAATTCTTCGTTTGCAGTGAGTTCAGTGATGAGGCTGCCCAGGCCCAAAGCCCCCAGGCCTGCCAGGTGTTTCTTGCACTCCTGTGAAAAGGATAGCAACAGAGTCGAAGATAACAACTAAACCTAAGCTTCCCACACCAGGCCTAGTTCCTGGGGCCACCACAGTGTCATTCCCCCAACAAGAAAAAAGACTTTGCCACGTATTCAAAGTAACATCATATTCAAGAACTGTAAACTCGCCACTAAACGGCATATGAACCAAATATTACAGCAGCATGCCCAACTTCATCGCACCCCCCCCCCCAAACGTAAAAACTTCTTCAAAGAACCATGAGAATAAACGAATGGAACAATAGTTCTCTGGATAAAGGCCAAGGCAACTGAGGTCCCTCAGGTTAGAGAAGACAAGGGATGGTCTTTATGGCCGCCTTTTGTAGTTGACCGTTGCAGGGGAGGAGGGCTAAGGGTCAACTTTAATCCCCGAGAAAATGAACTTAAATGAAAAGTACAGGACACAATTTTAGGGACGTCAATGAACACACCGGGAAAAGTACCTAAAAGGTGCACTGGGACATAACAGGTCTGGCCTGGGCGGTATCAACATTCACGTTTCTAACACTCGGAGCCAGAACCAGAGGATTGGCTGCAGCTTCAGTCCAGTCCTCTGGCTCTAAAGCCTTCTCAGATCAGCGATGGCAGAAGATAGTTTCAAGAGTTTTCACAAAGGTGCCCCCACGGTAACGGTTTGAAAGCACCCTCACTTGGTTAAACGACTTTTTCTTACTGTCTTCAGCAGGAAAACGTTAGCGCCAAAGTCACCCAACTCTGCGCCCCTGACCTCCCGGGCTTTCCTCCCCATCCACGCCCAGGGCTGCTGCCTTTCGACTTTACTCGCCTAAATCTACGAGAATGGGATCCTCCTACGCTAACTGTGCCCTCCCAGAGAGAGCCGCCCCTCTCTTCTCGCTCCCTAGGCACCCTCTACGCTCTTCACTTCCTCTCACTGCCGTCCCACCTCCAACCCTCTCCCCACGCCCACCCCCTCACATCATCCAAGACGCTTTCTCCCTCCAGCTGCCCTGCGCCATTGATGTTGCCGAAAAGGAAACCGGTTAAAGAAAATGGGCCGCCTCCAGCAGAGTCTTCGTCGCTGTCCGTGTCTGACATAATGGCGGCGGCAGCTCGGCAGCTGCCTTTGGCAGCGGCAAATCCCAGCTCTGTCCCATGGACCGGAAATTAACGCATCGGTCGCACAAAAGTGACTTACAGAGCCCCTTGACCCTACCGGAAGAGAATTGAAAAATGTGCGCGGCAAAGGGTGGGGGTGGGGAGGACAGGGCAATAACCGGAAAGACCGGCTGTCTTACGGGAAAGAAAGGATTACTACTTTACTAACGGCTTTTGATTGGTCCAGACGCCATCATGATGCCGGATATCTGGAAAACGATTGGTCAAAGGAAAGGTTCAGTCCCGCCCCCTTCTGTTTACCTTTCCGCGAGCATTCTCATTGCCACCCTGATAAGAACAACTGATTTTCCTCCAATCAGAAGAGGCTTTTGGGGTCACTGGGTCAGCGTCGCCTACTAATGACGTCGCAACATACGGAAGTTAAAAAAATGGAACTGCTCTGTGTTGTCTGTCTTGTGTGCAACTTCGCTCCTGCGTTCCAAAGGGAAGCTTGCTGTAATTTGTACAGGCAGTCCCCAACCGAGCCAAAGGTACCTCTGCAAATTACTTGCTTTGAATTGACATTTTCTGATAAGCAGATTCCCACCCCACACACACATTTTATTTCGGGAAGTGTGAAAGTTTAGTAAAATCAATGGCCAGCTGTTCAACTAAACGAATAATTGTGTTTTGCTAGGGTTTTAATTTTTTGTTCCCCTAAGTGCCAGCGTCTTGGTGCAGCTGGCTGAGCCACGCCCGCGGCAGCTGCATCTCAGATCCTAGCACCGGTTGGAGTCCTGGTTGCTCCACCTGCAACCCAGCGCCCTGCTTATGCACCTAAATGCTAGCAGATAATGATGGCCCAAGTGCTTGGGTCCCTACCTCCTTTGGCAGCGTGGAGTTCCAGGCTCTTGGCTTCAGCCTGATCCAGTCCTGGTTGTTGCAAGCATTTGAGGAGTAAACCAATGGATGAAAGAGCTCTTGCTCTTGCTCACTGGCTCTCTGTCGCCCTGCCTTTCAAGATCAATAAATAAGCATCTTAAAAACAAAATAACTTTTTTCTCTAAACTCTTTTAAAGTGGATTGCAGGCATTTTGTGTCTTCACACCTAGATGTAGACACCTTTCTACATAACCACGGTATCGCTGTCATTTACAATTAAGTCAATATTATTTCTCCTATAGTCCGTATTTACATTTCCCTAGCCTTTTTCTTTTTAAAAAAAGATTTTTATTTATTTACTTGAGAGGCAGAGTTACAGACAGAGAGGAAGAGAGAGAGAGGTCTTCCATCTGCTGGTTCGTTCCCCAGATGGCCGCAATGGCCAGAGCTGAGCCGGGTGGAAGCCAGGAGCCAGGAGCTTCCTCTGGGTCTCCCATGTGGGTGCAAGGGCCCAGGGACTTGGGTCATCCTCCACTGCCTTCCCAGACCATAGCAGAGAGCTAGACAGGAGCAGGAGCAGCCGGGACTCAAACCGGCGCCCATATGGGATGCCAGTGCCCCAGGTGCAGGCTTAGCCCACTGTGCCACAGCATCGGCCCCTTCCCTGGTTTTTCTAATTGGTGGCATTTTACATTTTTTCCAATTCAGGATCCATTTGAGGTTAATCTCCCTTTAGCTTAGAATCCACCTGCCTTTTTATATTTCATGACATTAAATTTTTGGGAGAATCCAGACAAGTATTCTTGAAAACATTCAGTGTTCTGAATGTTTGCTATAAAGTAATGCAGGTTGAATATCTTACCATTAGAAGGCACAGTATCAGCTTGTCACAAATATTAGTGATGCTACGGTCAGTCACTTTGATAAGGTACCACAAAGGTACATTTTTCTCCTCTGTGGAGCAGCTGGGACTTGAACCAGCACCCATATGGGATGTTGGCACTAGGCAGTGGCTTTACCTGCTATGCCACAGTGCCGGCCCCTCAAATGTATTTTAAAAGTTCTTAAATATTTAGTTTCCTAAGTTGCAACCAAGTCTTTGTTGATGGCGTTTTATTAATATTTTTGTGATTTGTTTTATTCACTTAAAAGGCAGAATGACCAGGTGGGGGCGGTGTTCCTTCTGCTGGTTCACTCCCTGAATGGCAACAGCTGAGCCAGGCTGAAGCCAGGATTCCAGAAATCCATCTGGGTCTCCTTTGTGGGTAGCAAGGGCCCAAGCATTTGCATCATCTTCAGCTGCCTTTCTAGGCACATGAGCAGGGAGCTGGATTGAAAGCAGAGCATCCAGGATTTGAACCAGTGCTCTGATACAGGATGCCAGCATCACAAGTGGTGGTTCAACCTGCTCCGCCACAATACCACCCTTGCCTCACATTTGTTTGCTGGCTCCTGTGTCCTTTATTTATTTTTAAAGATTTCTCATTTATTATTTGAAAGGCAGAGTTAGAGAGAGGCAGAGAGAGAGGTCTTCCATCCGCTGGTTCACTCCCCAAACAGCCACAACAGCCAGAGCTGGGCCAATCCGAAGCCAGGAGCTTCCTCTGGGTCTCCCATGTGGGTGCAGGGGCCCAAGGACTTGGGCCATCTTCTACTGCTTTCCAGTAGAAGATGCTTTCCTGCAGAGAGCTGGATTGGAAGAGGAGCAACCAGGACTCGAACCAGTGTCCATATGGGATGCTAGCACTGCTGCTACACCACAGTACCGGCCCCTCCTGTGTCCTTTAAACATGACCATTAATCATTGAGCACTTCCTCGCTTTTTGGCATACAATGTTCCAGGCATTTTCTGTACCTTTAATATCCTGGACTTAATATGAACTATTTCTCCTAGGAGCCCTGATTCCCTTGTGAATGGTGTTTAGAATCCAAGATCTGGGGTATCATTTATTGTAGGCCCTTTCAGAGCTTAAAGAGTTTATGCTACTCATACCTCTGATTCAAATTTAGTGCAAGATTCTCTCTCATCTGCCATTCCATATTTGTATGTTGCCACTCAATATATTTATATCTTTTTAGATAATTTATTCTTTTTTTTTTTTATTTTATTTTTTTTTATTTTTTGACAGGCAGAGTGGACAGTGAGAGAGAGAGACAGAGAGAAAGGTCTTCCTTTGCCGTTGGTTCACCCTCCAATGGCCGCCGCTGCAGCTGGCGCACCGCGCTGATCCGATGGCAGGAGCCAGGATCCAGGTGCTTTTCCTGGTCTCCCATGGGGTGCAGGGCCCAAGCACCTGGGCCATCCTCCACTGCACTCCCTGGCCACAGCAGAGAGCTGGCCTGGAAGAGGGGCAACCGGGACAGAATCCGGCGCCCCGACCGGGACTAGAACCCGGTGTGCCGGCGCCGCAAGGTGGAGGATTAGCCTATTGAGCCACGGCGCCGGCCTAGATAATTTATTCTTAAATATATAAAGAGAGAGATCTTCCATCTGCTGGTTCACTCCCCAGATGGCTGCAATGGCCAGCGCTGGGCTAGGCTAAAGCCAGGAGCCAAGAGCTTCTTCCAGGTCTCCCACATGGGTGTAGGGTCCCAAGCACTTGGGCCATCTTCTGCTGCTTTCCCCAGGCCATTAGCAGGGAGCTGGATTGGAAGTGGAGCAGCCAGGAGAAGAACCAATGCCCATAAGAGATGCAGGTGGCTTTACCTGCTACGCCACATTGGCCCTTCGTTTCTAGTTTATTCTTTCTGTTTCTTTCTATTAAATAAGCAAGTGTGTTTATTTTTAAATATTTTCTAACATTTATTTGGAAGGCAGAGCAAAAGAGATTTTCCATCCACTGGTTTGTTCCCCAAATGCCTACAAGAGCCAGGACAGGACCAGGCTGAAGCGAGGAGCCTGGAACTCCACCTAGGGCTCCCATACGGGTGTCAGGGTCCCAAGCACTTGGGCTATCTTCTGCTTTCTCAGGCCATTAGTAGGGAGCTGAATTGGAAGCCAAGCAGCCAGGACTCAGCTGGCACTCCAGTATGGTATGAAGGTATTCAAAGCAGCAGCTTAACCACCTTGCCACAACGTCTTCCCCAGCAAATGTGTTTATATATCCTTATTTCCCCTTTTTTTCTTTTCACAAAAGGTAGCTTGCTACATATTATCTTTTTACCTTGCTTTTTTCACTTAGTAACAGACAGGAAATTGTACTGTGCCTGCTTCTTAACACTCTTTCTCATTTTTTTTTTAAGATTTATTTGAAAGGCAGAGTTACAGAGAGGCAGAGGCAGAGAGGGTCTTCCTCTCTCATCTGGCTTGTTCCCCAGATGGCCACAATGGCTGGAGTTGTGCTGATCTGAAGTCAGGAGGCAGGAGTTTCTTTTGGGTCTCCCATGTGGGTGCAGGAGCTCAAGGACTTGGGCCATCATCTGCTGCTTTCCCAGGCCATAGCAGAGTGCTGGTTCGGAAGTGGAGCAGCTAGGACTCAAACCAGCACCCATATGGGATGCCGGCAGGCACTGCAGGTGGCGGCCTTACCCGCTATGCCACAGGGCCAGCCCCCCTCATTCCTTTTTGTTTTTAATATTTATTTATTTATTTGAACGTCAGGGTTACACAGAGAGAGAAGGAGAGAGACAGAGAGAGAGAGAGAGGTCTTCCATCCGTCGGTTCACTTCTCAACTGGCTGCAACAGCCGGAGCTGTGCCAGTTAGAGCCAGGAGCTTCTTCCAGTCTCCCACACAGGTGCAGGGGCCCAAGCACTTGGGCCATCTTCTACTTCTTTCCCAGGCCATAGTAGAGAGCTGGATCGGAAGTAGAGCAGCTGGGACTCAAACTTGATGCCCATTTGGGATGCCTGCACTGCAGATGGTGGCCCCACCCCCTCATGCTTTTTAATGGGACATTGCATGGATGTCCCATGCAATGTTTTAACAGTAGTTACATTTCAGATCCGACAACAAAAATTTGTCAAATCTGCGTAGTAGCTGAAATACTGCACTTTGGTAATGAAATGTCAGTAGGCAGGGCTGGCGTTGCAGCATAGCAGTAGGTAAAGCCGACTACAGCACTGGTATGCCATATGGGCACTGGTTAGAGTCTGAGCTGTTCCACTTCCACTCCAGCTCCCTGCCAATGCACCTGGGAAAAGCAGCAGAAGATGGCCAAAGTGTTTGGGCCCCTTCCACTCACATGGGAGGCCTGGAAGAAGCTCCTGGCTGTTGTCTTTGGCCTGACGCAGCACTGGCTGTTGTGGCCATCTGGGGAGTGGATGGAAGATGGATCGATCACTCACTCACCAGCTCTTGACCTTCTAAATAAATAAAATAAATATTTTTAAAGAGTCAGTAAAATACTGTTAACATATTAGTATTTACAACAAGAAAGTTTTTTTTTAATGTGTACTTTATTGCCTATTAGGTGCTTGTACTTGAGGAAAAGCAGATTCAATGAGAAGTAGATGGAGGTCCGTAGGATATGAAAGGGGACTTCAGATATTATCCATATTGAAGATACCATTCTTGGGGCTGGCACTGTGGCATAGCGTGTAAAGCCACTGCTTGCAGTGCCAGCATCCCATATGGGCGCCAGTTCAAGTCCTTGCTGCTCCACTTCCAATCCAGCTCTCTGCTATGGCCTGGGAAAGCAGTGGAGGATGGCCCAAGTCCTTGGGCCCCT